AAGGGTTAGGTTTAGGGTTAGGTTTAGGGTTAGGTTAAGGGTTAGGTTTAGGGTTACGTTTAGGGTTAGGTTTGGGGGGGTTAGGGTAAGGTTTTTGCTTTATTTTTACATTTTTCTATCTTTTTCGTCGCCTGTGATGATGTCACATACGCGCTTTTGTCGACCGCGATTTTGTCGTCTGCGGTTTTGTGGTGGAACCGGAAAAGATAGCTGGGTGAAGTCAAAATGTCTCCCAGCCAGTCAATCAGCCAGGACTGGCGAGAGTTTAACCGTGGATAATATCAGATATGTCAGAGTATATTGTTCAAATGTGTTCTAAACATACAGCTACTTACCTAAATAGCGAAAGGAACTGTTAAAACAACCTAGTGCCTCACGTTTTATCTGGGTGGCTGCATTAGACAGAAAAGATGTATTGTGAAGGAAGATGATACCTTTCAACATGAAAGTCTCTAAATTGTAAAAAGAAAATAAAAACTCGGAGCCCACTTGTCAGATGATTAGGTTATTTACGCTGCATTAAGGAGCGGACAATATGAAGTATGTCACCCGAAAGGCGGGGGGGGACAAACTCATTTTCCACCTGAAATGACACTCGTGCCGCTATTGTTCCTATTGCAGGTATTATGTGCATCTCGACAATGGCCTCATAATTCAGTTGCTTCTGTTTAGAAGCTATAAATATTTCCAAAAATATAGAAGCAACACATCGATTGCTATTCTTAACTACCCCTTTCCGTGAATGTGCAGCTAGAAAAATTGTAGCACAGAGAAAAAAATATCATTGCCCTGCCTTTGTTAACGTTGTGTCTAGGCCAAAATATAGGACTCTAACATTCCCCATAAGCTTACTTGCCTCCCACATTTATTTATAATAGTCCTTGACCCAGAATTTTGGTTATTAGTTGTAACAGTCACAAGACAAGGTACCATGTGACTGGAAGTGATTTTCCAGCCTCTTTCGCTGCAGCTGTTAAGCAAATGCAGCGGTTGTTAAGCAAAGACATTGTGACGCCAATAAGCAAACCCCAAAACCAAAGTAAATCATGGCCACATAACTACAGAATGAAGGAGTTTGAGAGTTTGAGAGTTTATTAACATTTATAGGCCGCCCTTTTCCCTGAGGGGACTCAGGGCGGCTTACATAAAATCAGGAGGGGGGAATACAAACAATGACGTAGACACACATAGAGTAAAAATAATGAACAACATTCATTCATCATTCGGGAAAGGGGCGGCTATCTTTGTCCCCAGGCCTGACGGGCTAGCCAGGTCTTGAGGGCTATGCGGAAGGCCTGGACG